CGGAAGAATAATAACGCCTCCTTCTTCAACTCACGGAGTTGAGGTGTCATGGCATCCTTGTCTTCTTTCTCAACGATGGGAGGATTTTTGTTCAACGGTTTGGCAGCATTGGCCTTGTTCATTTTTTGCAAGGGAGATGGCTGATTCTCCTTGTCATTAATCAGGGGAAGCATGAGCCAGTGATTATGGTCGCGATCCCCCTGAATGGGGGTGATTGGAGGAGAGTCAAAGATGTCACTAATATCTCTGCCCATCTTCTCCGTGATGGCGGTCACGAGGTTGACAAGGTCATTCTTCTCTGCGGCGGATATGATGCCGGTTAGGTCGACGGGACGACGAGGAGCGTGGCTCCCTCCCCGACCACCTCGAGCCATGATTGCTGTTGTGATTGAGTAGGTTGGCTTTGCCTGGGTATTTGTAGTTGTTTGGAGGAGGTGATTGATATGCGGCGAGAACTTGGTTGGATGATGCGATGTGAACCCGTAAAGGGGAGTTGGCTGGCTATGACAGTGATGACGGTATGAAGCAAACGAGAGGCAGTGGTCGGAATGAAGTATCGGAGAGTAATCAAAGGTGGTAACGAGCGAGTTGACTGAGTGGTGGTGGTGGTGCACGACGAACGAAAGGTGACGAGGTTGTGAAGTATGAGCTTGATTCGAGCAGCCAGCGGGCCGAAGGAACGAAGATCATAACAGCTGTATGACGAAGAGGCAAGTCAGACGCCCGGTGGAAGAAAGTCGAAAGATAAAGAGAAGGAGGAGGAGGGAGAGAAAAGTAGAGGGCAGATGGCAGATTGAGGGCTCGTTGAAGTGAAGAAGAGAGGATGACGTAGAGGAGGAAGTAGAAGTGAAAGTAGAAGTAGAAGTAGAAGACGTAGAAGAAGAAGAAAGAGGAAGAAAGAGAAAGATAAAAAGAGGAGGTGCAAACGAAAATGAAGGAAATGGTGAATGACAGAAAATGGGCAGCTGTCTGCCAGGTGCCTGCCAGTTTCGCTTGCGGCAGTAGTAGAAAGAAGGTGCAAACAAGAAATCAGCAAGAAGTGAGAAGAATCTGAACTTTGGAGTCATGCGAAGCCAAGAAATCGAGGCCACACACATACACTCTACTCTCTCTCTCTCTCTCTCTACAACGAGGCTGCCTCATGCAGAGGAGCAAACAAGCAAACAAGCAAACAGCATGCATATATGCATGCACATCCCATATCCGTCAATTTGACCGAGAATGTAACAAGAGACAGAGAGAGACAGAGACAGAGACGTGGGGGTTTATCAAATGGCAGACGTCTAAATTAGACAAGGATAGGGAAAAAGAAACCCGGCGACTAAAAGATTCATCCTCACTTACGGTAGCAGCAACAGCGGCAGCAGCAGGCAGTAGGAGACTACCCTCTGCAGTCTCAGGGTCATGTGCCTTTCTCTGTTTGCTTCCTTGTCTTGTCTCTGTGTATGGGAATGAGTTGTTCCGGTCACAGCATATCACAGTCCTCTTGGCTCGTATCAAAGACGTGCAAAACGAAGGGCAGGGCATCAAATACAGGATCAAGTAAAAAGGGAAAAAACAATGGACTAAATAGCAAGTCGTAAATAATAATAATAATAAAACCACGAGAACTAGGAACTGGAGAGAGAAGAGAAAAGAAAAAAGAATCGGACAAACAAAAAATAAAACAAAAACAATGCAGACGAGCAAGCAAGAAAGAAAGCAAACAGGCCCCTTTTGGGACCGTCTAATATCCAGAAATTGCAAATCAAGCAACCTGGCAAACGGGAACAAGCATACACACACACACACACACACACACACATACACACTCTATCGTGTCAATCCAGCATCCATTCCAATGAAAGGGGGCAATGGGGGCGAGGGAGGCCGAGCAATGTAGCCCACCGATGGGTAATTGTTAGCCACCACGTCGATTGCCTCATTCAGTTACTCCTGTGCTCAATTCTAGAACTTGGTACTCAAGGCTGTATCATCAGTCCAGCTTGATGTTCAATTGGGAATGGGAGGGGGGAATCAATCACACTCTGTTTGTCTCGACACGGCAGTCCTAGTGGCTGGCATTGGTATCACAAGGTCCCAATAGGATCCGCCAACAAACATGCCCGAGGCGAGCTCCCGTCTTCCGTATCTCCATGGCCAGCACCGTTGCACACATCGGCGCAGTAAATGGAATCAAATAGTCACTGAGTGTCATTCTCACCGACTCTTAGAGTGTGACGGGATGTTTGCTCTTTGTCCAAAAATAAAAATAAAAAAAATGCTACTTTCCAGCCTACATACCCTCCCCAAGGCCCATGCCGTGTGCATCTCCTTTTGCAGGCTGGCTCGGTGCTCATTTTCTTCATCCTTCTGACGTACCTTGGCGATATTAGAGTGCAAACACTTTCCCATCCAATCGTTTGACAGCCTCGGTGGCTCCCCATATTACTTGCAGAAATATTGTCTTCAACCCCGGCACTGCCCAAATAACCTCCCACTCTGTGTAACCATCCTACTCACGCACCAGGGTCTAAGCCTGACAGGAATCTCCTCACGGAGGAATGGTAATTCAACGTGAATGTAAATTATTTAGCATCCGCCAATGCTCCCAATGATAAGCACAACTTATCGATGGGGTTCTCGACTATGCGCCAACTATCACAGCTCAACCTCCCAATTCGTGATATCTCATATGAGCCAACATTGCAAACGAGGGGATTGAATGCCCACATGTCGCGCAAGCTGAATTCTCCGCGGCCTCCCAAGATACATTGGCGTCCGACTCTTCAAACCCGTCTTGTTCTTCGTCTTGTTCTTCCTCATCCTGTTCCTCCTCCTCGAAAACCTCCTCCTTATCCTCGACACTTTGACCCCCTTCTTCGTCAGATAGCGGCGCAATCCTCCAAGGGCGCAAGACTTCATCCTGTCGTTTAAACATGGCTGCAATATCTCGGCCCGCTCCCGTCTTGTCATCGGCGGCTCCGACCGCCATGTTTGCCGCGCAAATATTGATCAGCTGAAGGTTCCAGCCGTGCCCCTTGTCGGGCTGCAAACGACGCAGCAGTGGCAGAAGCGCCTCGGCGACAAGCTGCTGGGCGATTTCTTCGATTTCAGCTCTCAGATCAAATACGAAGCTCGGGAGAGGTCCCGAGCGGGATATGCGACTAAAGTCACGGCTCTGGGGAGAATTCGGCCGGGGCCAAGATCGTATAGAAAGGCGAAGTGTTTTCGGTCGTGCGGTCCATTTCTGGCTTCCGGACACGTCAGCGTTGGTATCGGGAACGACGAGGTCTACTCTCATTCGTCGGATGAGGGAACATGACAGCTTGTGCAGTTCTTCTGTGATGCGGGATAGTGTGTCGAGCCCTTTGTAGGTATCTTCTATACTGATTTGAGAGGGAACATCGTTGGCCTCCTTGACCTCGGTGGGATCCACGCCATGAAGCAAGCCCCAGACTCTTGCTCCGATGCCTCGTTCAGCACCGGGGCCACCGAGCAAAGTCTCTAGAAAAGCTGGCGAGATTGTAGGGTGGAGGCGAGCTTCACGAGCAGTGACAAGAGAGTCGAACTGGCTTGCATCCTTCTCGAGCTCCTGGGAGGTAATGTGTGATTCTAGCAAATGCGTAATTTTGGATCCCACTCCTGGGATAGTGCGCAGCTTATATCCATCTATGAAAGATATTATATCCTCGTCAGTGAGAGCCAGGAGTGTCGTCTGATTCCGTGGTTTGTTTTTGCCGCCCACGAGTTTGCTCAGAACCCTGTTAGTGGAGATGCCACACGTCGACGTATACCCAAAGTCCTTTTCTAGTTTTAGTCGTAGGTATTGCGCAAGGTGAGAGCCCAGCAAGAGGCGCAGATAGGCAGTGTTTTCGAGATCCACGTTGTCAGTAGAGAACCCCGTTATACAGCCAGCGATGGAGGTCAGGTCGCAGGGGAAGCCAATTTCGGGGTCTTTGTTGGAGAGACAAAAGAATGATTCCGCCAACGAGACCTTGTTCAAGAACATCATGTTGTAATCGATCAGATCAGTAACATCTATTAGGGCGAAGTCAATGAAACTGTCATGATATTCTCACGAGTCTCTCTGCCTACCCATAAAGACCTCGTCAAAGCCGAGACGTTCTGCTTTTCCATTCCATGAATGAGACCGGAGAAAGTTGAAGAGAGTCTTGCTCGTATCACGGAATGGCGTCAAGTCCTCTCCCTCGACGAGGACAAGGTCAGGGCATATCTTCTTGGCCTCGGAGACAAGCATGAGTTTCTTGACTCCACAACTGCGTGCATTGTAATTGCATGTTGCCAAAATGTTCTTTTGTTTGATACCAAGTGGTTTCGACTTGAGGCCTGGGTTTTTGTTCTCGTGGACCTGAGCATAGAAGCAATCGTAGTCCTATAGTCTGTTGGTAAGCAACAACATGGGTCGACCAACTGAGACATGGTGATGTTGGAGGGGATGGGGATGGAGATGGAGATGAATGGAGGAGACGAACGAACTGGAGAATGATTCTATCTTCCTTCCTTTTTGGGGGCCTTTTAACAATCTTGAGGTCCATTATCGGAGCTTGAACTTGAGGGATACCAACAGATGAGGCGCCATGAATAATAATGTTGGTGACTCTTGATTGTCTAAAATATTACGAATGTGAATAGGGATGCATGCAAATCATCTATAATTGGATGAACCAATGCGATGATTAGAAAATGTCCCATCAGGCACCGAGACAGCACTAATTGTAACAAAGGCGTGCTGTGCCGTAGCTACAGTGCCACTGAGACATCTAGGATCCATAGTTCTCCATTCGCCTCGAACCCACCAGAAAACGTTATCGCTAGTGATTCTTGTCGCTGTTGCACCGCTGATTGAACAAAGAAAGGCCACTGATAGCGGGCCAATGAAGGTGATGAACAGTCAGTTGTACATAATACCACTGAATTGAACGAGGAAATAAATACGTACCTGATAGTAGTATGTATATAAGCGGAAAATATACCAATGTGGTTAGCCTATTTCCTAATCCGGGCTGGTGTAATGGATAACACAGCGGATGACACTTGGGCTATTTTAGTAGCCTAAGCCCTTTTAGGGGTCGCAGTTCCAGGTTCGACTCCTGGGCCCGGTATGCGTACCATCTTTTTCTCTCTCTATAAATAAATAATAATAAATATTACAAACAAATAAATCAGACCTGGTTGATGATGATGATGATTTTTTTTTTGTCTCTCTCCTCCTCTAAGAAGTACAAGTAACTGAACTGCATGCATTGCAGTAGTAACCAAGCCAAATGAATGTCCCTCCATCAGGCGCTGAGACAATGTCACTCACTCCTAATCTCAATGAGACAACAAGCCCGCCGCCCGTCCTTAGTAGTAGTACCAGCAAGTAGAGTGCCTAGTAGTTCATCCAATTCCACTAACGGCCTCCCTATCAAGAAGACCCTCCTCTCTTCTCTCTCTCAGGCTATCATCTATCGCTGTCTGTCAAATAAATGGTCACTACGGAGTATCACTATCACTGACACTCCATTTGTCACACAAGGTCCATCCAAGTTTGAGTCGCGCCGGCACCGGCCATGACTAAACTTGACTTGTTAGGTATTAGGGTCTCCCCCGTCCCTGGTGATGCTACCCTCTTTCGAGGTCTGAAGTGGGGGTAGGTGGTGGTTTTTATTTTATTTTACCTTGCCCGCTGACTTACTACAAGTGTTATTTTCCGAGACGTTCGAGTCACCGCTGGATGAATTATTACTGCTGTATTCAACAGACCCTGTTGTCTCTGGGGTAATCGAGTAGGTATACCCAATTCTTCTTCTTCTTCTTCTTCTTCTTTTTCTCATCTCATCCTGTTCAACCTGTACATACAATACATCCGTCATACACCCTTTTGAATCTACCTACCTACATATACCTGCAATAATAACCAATCTGTCCACAATGGCAGGTAGTGTGAGTACTTGTTCCTCCCCTCTCGCTTCCCGTTGTCTTGTGTGGAGAAAAAAACGCCCTGGTCAGCAGCAGCAACAGTTGCTTTTTGGGCGAACCCTCCTCGCATACCTTAATACATGTACTCCGTACACAATACGCACAATAAATATGACATGAGCTGACTCGTTTCCCCTTCTCTCGATTGCCTTGCAGCAAGGCATCGTCCCCTCGCTCGATACCATTCGCGACATTCTCGGCAAGCCTCCCAAGACCCAGGGAGCCCCCAAACCGACCCTCGTCCCCGTATACCGCCAGATCTCCTCCGACCTCATCACCCCCTCCGCCGCCTACCTCAAGGTCTCGGCGCACGCCAGGGCCTCTGTCTCCTCTCCGTCGCAGTACTCATGTCTCTTCGAGTCCGCCGCCACCGAGCAGGTCGGCCGGTATAGCTTCGTCGGCGCCGGCCCCCGCAAGATCCTGACCACTGGCCCTGGCTACGGCCCGGAGGTGGACCCCTTGCCCGCCCTCGAGAAGGAGCTCGAGCAGCATGTCGTCGCCCACGTGCCGGGCCTGAAGCTGCCTCCGTTGACCGGCGGTGCCATTGGCTACATTGGCTACGACTGCGTTCGATACTTTGAGCCCAAGACGGCGCGGCCCATGAAGGACGTGCTAAAGATCCCCGAGTCCTTGTTCATGCTCTACGACACCATCATCGCATTCGATAGATTTTACGGCGTTATCAAGGTCATAACCTACGTCAAGGTTCCCAAGGATGATGGAAAGCAGACCTTGAACGCTGCGTACGACGAGGCAGTCAAGCTAATCGACGAGCTCGTCGACGTCCTCAACGCTCCCGAGATCCCCCTACCGGAGCAAACCCCCATCAAGCTCGGCCAGGAGTACAAGTCCAACATTGGCCGCGATGGCTACGAGGCGCACGTCACCAAGCTGAAGGAGCACATCGTCAAGGGCGACATCATCCAGGCCGTCCCGTCGCAGCGCTTCGCCCGCCCGACGAGCCTGCACCCCTTCAACATTTACCGCCACCTGCGCACCGTCAACCCTTCGCCCTACCTGTTCTACCTCGACTGCCAGGACTTTCAAATCGTCGGCGCCTCCCCGGAGCTGCTCGTCAAGGAAGAGGAGGGCAGGATAATCACACACCCCATTGCCGGTACCGTCAAGCGCGGTCCGACCCCGGAGGAGGACGAGCGTCTCGCCAACGAGCTCCGCGGATCGCTCAAGGACCGTGCCGAGCACGTCATGCTCGTCGACCTAGCTCGCAACGACATCAACCGCGTGGCTGATCCCTTCACCGTGCGAGTCGACCGCCTCATGGTGGTCGAAAAGTTTAGCCACGTGCAGCACCTCGTCTCGCAGGTATCCGGCGTTCTGCGCAGGGGCCAGACGCGCTTCGACGCCTTCCGATCCATCTTCCCAGCCGGTACCGTCTCCGGTGCGCCCAAGGTTCGCGCCATGGAGCTCATCGCCGAGCTGGAGCAGGAGAAGCGTGGCGTGTATGCCGGTGCGGTGGGCTACTTTGGCTACGGCGGAGTGGATGAGAATGGCGAGGATGTTGAGGGAGCTATGGACACATGCATTGCTCTACGAACAATGTTGGTCAAGGAAGGCGTGGCGTATCTCCAAGCAGGTCAGTAAACCCCCCCCCTTTTTTTATTTTATTTTACGATGGAATCTACATCGACAATGATTGTGTATATGCTAACTTGATCGTAAAAACAGGCGGCGGTATCGTCTTTGACTCGGAGGAATACGATGAGTGGCTCGAAACCATCAACAAGCTCGGCGCCAACATGCAATGCATCACCACGGCGGAAGAGCTCTACCATGAGCAACAGCAGCAACACGCCGCCAAGTCAGCTTGAATAATAAAGGAAACATGACCCCCTTTTTTTTGGGGGGGGGGGGGGGCGGGGTAAAAAAGATCGCATTATGTTCCTAGACTTGAAGGATAGATGGGAAACGAACGGCATACATAGAATTTGAATTAAAACTTTGAATGATTGTAATCATCTATTTTCTCGCTCAGATTTATTATTTCTGTCTCATTATTTATCATTGATTTATTTATCTCTTGATTTAGTTATTTACCATCATCTATCTATCCATTGATTCGGTCAATCATCATCGTCGTCATTGTCACCAGTGAAACAAGCAGTAGATTGTAGGATGCAGTACTATGTTCGATTTTGTTATATGTAGCTTTGAATCCAACGCCCTTAAATGATGATGATGTGCAATCCATGACTCCCCGTGTCTCCTAATCCTATTCATGAGGATTCATGTCTCGTAAAAAAAAACGCTATATGTATATATGTACCATGATGTTCCGCTAAATGCTATACAAGAATGCCCATCAACGTAGCCAAAATGCATATTCCCTTTCTTCCTTCCTCCATCCCATGCGTTGAAAAAAAAATTTGGTTCCGGTTCCAGTTCAGCTCAGCCCCCTTGCAACAAAAAAAATTGTTCAACAGGGACAAGCGTATGCATCCCTAACGTCTGCCAGTTTCGGGATAGGCGCACCGCGCTTCTTCGCTATGGGAACGGACAGCGCGAGTCTTGGTCTTCTCGGGGTCTTCTTCGCCTTCAATCCATGCTTGGATGGCCCAAGGACTCCAGAGTCTTCAGACGCGATGCTGCTTACATCCGACATGTCAACGTCCACGTCAGCGGACTCGGAGGCTGAGTCGGCACCACTCCCTATGCTCTCGGTCGGTGTGTCCGGGATCCTAATTTCCGGAACCGGCATCGGCATCACGGGCACCGCCTCAGTGAAGCCGGCGGCTTTGGCAGTCGCAGCAGCGGCTTCTGCCCTCAAAGCGGCGATGGCACCGCCTACCTTGTCGTCATCTTCCTCTTCCTCGTCCTTGACGCCAATGGTCCAAACCCACTGGCGCTTCTTCTCCTTCTTCTTGCGCTTGCGAATGCCCCCAGCCTGTGGCGATGATGGCTCGAGCCCCGCAAGTCTGCGCCTCATATCCTCAAAAGGGCCGGGTGTCTGGCCGCCATCCTCAATTTCGTTTCCAGTGAATGCCTGGGCAATGTCAATTTCGGTGTCAATTGGCAGGCCAGGGGTGGCCGGTGACGCCTCTTCTATGAGCAGCTCGATGTGTGATTTGATGTACTTGTTGTTGACAATGTCTTGGGTGAGAGGGTTGTTGTAGCCGACTTTCTTGGGCCCCCTCTCGTGTCGTCGCAGTGATTGGCGTCGCGGAGAGGCGGGGATGGCCGTCCTTGGGGGTAATGGAGAGTTGCGGAGGATGCTGTGGAGAGAGCGAGGATGGTGGTATGGCGCCGAGACACTGGTGGTGTGAAGTGTGAGATGCCGCCTGTTGAGACGAGTCTCGACGGGTGAGCGTATGGAGGGGGATTTTGAGGGCTTGGAGGTGTCTCTGGTAGAGAAGGAAAAGATTCTGTCGCCAGTCTTGTTCTCCACGGGTCCGGCTGACACGGGCGGTGTCGACGTCAATATGCTGGGATATGCCGTGTCCAGCTGCTGCGGCGGTGAAGATGAGGTGGGCGTCTCGGGGAAAGCAGCAACATATGGTGTTGTTACTCTCAGTTTGAGCTTCTGCCTCTTGGACTCGACAGGTGTCGATATGCTGAAGTTTTGCAGGGTGTTGATGGCTGTGAGAGGCTCCGGCGTTGACCTCTCAACTGCTGACACATATTTGTTTGAGAGGGTGTTGAAGGTAGTCGGATCAGTAGGATTGATGGAGAGACTTGGTCTTGTCATTGTCGTCGTTGTGGTGGTTGTAGTTGTGGTGGTGGTGGTGGTGGTGGACAATCCGCAAGTCTTGATCTGGAGAGAAAGGCGAGGCCTCTTGGGCATGGCCTGTGGCGCTTGTAAAGTAGTCATGATGGCAATGACTGAAGTGAGTCTGAGAGAGAGAGAGAGAGAGAGAGAGAGTGTGTGTGTGTGTGTAGTGAATACTTGTATGAGTGGTAATGGTGGTGGTGGTGGTGGTGGTGGTGGTGGTGGTAATAGCTGAGGCAAGCTTTCGTGAAAAGTCGAGAGAAAAGTTTGACTTCTTGAATGAAGCAGAGAAAAAGGCGTGGTTGGTCCTGGAGCTGCCTTGACCTTGAATGGCTACCAACACCCGACCAACATCAATTCCGTCCAAATCAATCAAATCACTGTCACGGTTGCATTCACAGTCCCGTCCCCCCTTGT